CCAACCCAGTTAGCTGATTATTTTGTTTAGTTAGTGCTCAGAAGAGCAAGGCTTTTGTTTGATATATTTTTGTTACCTTTATACTTTACTGTGCATTTATTTTGGAACCTCAATAAAAGAGCAAGTCAGTTTACCTCATCCAGCGTGTGAAGTGTCTCTAAAGCCTGAAAAGACTGTGTGTAACACCCCAATCCCAGGACAAGGTACCAAGGGAAAGGAGTACTTTTGTCACAATATATATATATAATTTAAAAAATATATTTTTATTCATATATAGGTATATAGTGATATATACGTGTGTGTGTGTGTGTGTGTATATATATATTTTGTTCGATGTGTATTTTGATATAAATATATATATTATCACAATACAGTTAGAACGAAATAACATACATCTATATATTTTTTTAATTATTTATTTTTAATTTTTTTTATTTATTTTTTTAACGTATTTACATATGTTTTTATATTATATATAAATATAACAATAATTATATATATTTAATCAATGAGTCTGTGTAATTTGATATTAATACATATATATAATTATATATATTAATAGTAAAATACACCTAGACAGTGTGTGTATGTATGTATGTGTATATATATATATATATATATATATATATATATATATATATATATATATATTTGGATCATATATATTTGAAAAAAATAAAAAAAAAAAATTATATGATCCAAGTACCGTATATACTCGAGTATAAGCCGAGTTTTTCTGCACATTTTTTGTGCTGAAAAACCCCCACTCGGCTTATACTCGATTCAGTCTGTATTATGGCAATTTACATTGCCACAATACAGACCAGGACCGCCGGGCTCATTACAAACCGGCGGTCCTGTTGGGGGCTGGCAGCGAGCTGTTACTTACCTTCCTGCAGCTCCTGGCAGCTCCTCTGTCAGCTCCGTTCTGCTTACAGTGTAAGTCTCGTGAGAGTCTCGGAACGCAGCAGAACGGAGCTGACAGAGATAATAATATAATTATGAAGTTCTTGTGCAGAACTTTCATCAGAAACTGAACGTTGACACTTTGTGGCAGTTGCTGAATAAAGCTAAGTTCCTTTTTTTTAACTTATGAAGTCCCAGGAGTGCTATTTTCTACTACTTTGTTCTATTCATATTGCCAACAAGCACCGGGCTAAACTTTATTATAACTGGAGTGCAAGCATTTGGATATTTTTTATATATATATATATATATATATATATATATATATATATCTATATCTATCTATCTCCTGGCTAATCATGGCAGTATATTTGCTCCTCCCCTTACAGCCAATGGGACAGGAATAAAACAATGGCTTTAACCCCTTAAGGACACATGACATGTGTGACATGTCATGATTCCCTTTTATTCCAGAAGTTTGGTCTTTAAGGGGTTAAAAGGAGTATCCATGCATAGGTCCCTAAGTCTTTTTCCTGTCCTTTTTGCACCCTTTACTTCATTTGTATTTGCTACTGTATTATACTGTGGTGCCTTTATACCCGGGCCGGTGCAAGGATTTCTGCCGCCCTAGGCAAAGATCCATTTTGCCGCCCCCTTATGAAAGCAAATACAATCTCACAGAGGTTTATTCACTAAACTCTGAATTGCAGTGAATTGAAAACCAAATTGCAAAGTGTAAGCAAAAACAGCTGAACGGTGACTGTAGCCGAATTGGAGAATTCTTCTAGATCAGCTATTTTGGTCTATATTTTGCCATATGGTTTTTCGGTTAGGTCTGTCTAATACACACATACTGCTTAATGCATACATCCATACACACACACACTCCCTAATACATGCATCCATATACACATACTGATGCGTACATTCATACACATACTGCTTAATGTCTACATCTTTACACACATACTGCCTAATACATGCATCCATACACACATACATCTATAAACACACATACTGTCTAATACATCTATCCATACACACATACTGCCTAATACCTACATCCATAAACACACACTACCTAATACATGCATCCATATACACACCTGTAGGAAATTTGCTCTTCTTGAGATGTATGATACTTTTATTACATATTTTTTATTTTGTAACAATAAAGTTATAGTTTTTACTACTTTATTTGTTGTTCTGATACATCTTGAATCCTGACTTATATCCTTTGGTGGGGATCATACCACCACATGCTGTCTATACCAGAGCAAGATATTTGCTCTGAAATTTGTAAGTAGGATACTTTTTCCTTTATTTGCACACTTTTTAATAGATAAACTACACTATTGGATTTTATTTCTATTTTTATCTTTCCATATACCACTGTGGAGGATTGAATACCGCATTATACCATCACTTGATATCCTGAGATGGGGATTATACCGTCTAGGCGCTATATGGCAGAGCTCTGAGTAGCTCTGCAAAGTGTTTTATACATTCCTAATTAGAGGACTCTCTGTATGTATATATTTTAATTATTATTTGCACTGTTTGGGCGCGGTTTACCACTTTTGTCTCTTCTGTTCTATATACATGGTTAACTGAATAAATGCCTTTGGAAATGTGAGCCTTGGTAATACACAGAGACCCTGGCTTGCAAAGCTAGGTCAAAGGTTACTATCAACAGGCCTTCATCCATCATTCTTAACATGAACCATATGTGCTGACAATTCATATACAAAGAAAGTCTGTTACTAGTGATGTCGCGAACATTAAATTTTCGGTTCGCGAACGGCGAACGCGAATTTCGGCGAACCGCCATAGACTTCAATAGGCAGGCGAATTTTAAAACACACAGGGACTCTTTCTGGCCACAATAGTGATGGGAAAGTTGTTTCAAGGGGACTAACACCTGGACTGTGGCATGCAAACTCTGATCCGCGGCTGCATCTTGCAGCCGCTTAGTAGATAACTCCCTAATTCCCACGGTATTAGAGAGCTATCTACTAAAAGGCTGAAAGACGTAAATTGGTCTTTCAGCCACATTTACTATTACTAAGTAAAGATTACTTAGTATTAGTAAATTCTGCCCCTACTCGCAGTGAGCAGCCAGTGGCTGCTCACTGTAAAAAAAAAAAAAAAACCTATTGCCCCCACCCCTGTGCGACGGGTGGGGGCCATAAATTACAATGGGGGGGGAGGACCTACTGTCCTCCCCTTCTACAATGCGTGGTGGGGGCCATAAATACAATGGGGAGGACTACTGTCCTCCCCCAACCACCCTGGGCGGGTGGGGGCCATAGAGGCGTCCCAATGGGGGGAGGACCACTGTCCTCCCCTTCCCTGGGCGGGTGGGGCCATAAAAGGTAATGGGGGGGACCTACTGTCACCCCCGGCCTACCTGGAGGCGGGTGGGGGCCATAAAGTAATAAGGGGTTCTGTCTCCCCGGCCCCACCCACAGGCGGCGGGTGGGGCCATGGAACATGAGGGGACTGCCGCCACCCCGCCCCACCCTCTTGGCGGTGGGTGGGGGCCATAAAAATAATGAGGGGGGGACCTACTGTCCTCCCCAACCCCACCCCTGCGCGGTGGGTGGGGGTAAATACATCACAATGGGGGGAACCTAAGGTCCTCCCCCCTGGCCCCCACCCCTGAGCAGCGGGTGGGGGCCCTAAATACTAAAAAGGGGGGGACCTAATGTCCTCCCCCCCCGGCCCCCACCCCTGAGCGGCGGGTGGGGCCCTAAAAAAAAATGTGTCCCCCCTCACCCTAAAAATAATGAGGGGGGGACCGTTAACTAAGTACCTGTAAAAAAAAAAAAAATGACCATTCGATGTTTTCTTTCTTCTAAATCTTCTTTTTTCAGCCCCAAAAAAGGCCAAATAAAAAACCATAATAACCGACGCAATTAAAAAA